CAATACTATAGGAAACCCTCAGAATGGACAAGATCTGTGCTAGTGACATTACAGAAGAAAGGAAGCACGCTGGCGTGCAAGAACTACAAAACGATTGCCGTAACGAGTCCTCTAGGCAAGGTGCTGACGATGATACTGACGGAGAAACTGAGATCGCAGATAGAAGAACATCTAGTGCACTGGGCACCAACCAGTAGATCGGGAGCTACTGGTAGATCTTGGAGCCTCTGACAGGTTTGGACAGGTTTGGCCAAGGGGCTACCAAGCAAAGCATTTTAGCTGCCTTTCCCCTCACTGTGGCACACCTCCTGCCCTTTGCCTTGAAGCTGCCTCCTCCTTGCTCCCTCCCCCTCCAGACTCCTGCTTTCTGGGCAAGGGAGGGAGAGAAAGGGGCGCAAATGACAGGTGCCCCCCTCTCACCCTGTATTCTGTCTCCACAGAATGGAGGGAGGCACAACATGACTGGGATGAAGGGAGTTTGTTGGCTGCTTTTGTGAGTGGTACAGGGCCAGAGTAGGGGTGAGCCGGCCTTAGCCCACTGCACCACCACCCAGGTAAGCAGTGCCCAGCTGAAGCCAGTTCTGAACCTCTGCCCCAATCATGAACCCCCCTCCTGCACCCAAGCTGCTGCCCCCAGCCCTGAGACTCTTGGATCCAAACTCCCTTACAGAGCCTGTACCCTGAGCCCCCTTCCTGCACCTCAACTCTTTGCCCCAGGCTCAGATCACAGCTCCTCTCACATGCCAAATCCCTTATCCCAAGACCAGATACTGTGCCCCAAACCTCTGCCCCTGCCTGGTGAAAGTGAGGGAGAATGGGGAAGGGAGAGAGGACAGAATGAACAGAGACAGGGCCTCGCAGAAGGGGCACCATGTAGACGGGCAGGATATTTGGGTTTGAGGTAGATCGCAGATTGTACTTAAATTCCAAAAGGGGTCTTGTGCTTAAAAAAGTTGGAGACCACTGATCTAGTGGATAAGCAAGTGGGATTCAGGAAAGCTAGAAGTACCATACAGCAGATATTAGCACTAAGATTGATCATGGAGAAAGCTCAGTGAAAGAACAAGAACATCTACAATTGCTTCATTGATTTTCAGAAGGCATTTGACAGTATAGATCAGAAAGTGACTTGGGCAGTGTTGGATTCATATGGAGTGAACAGTAGACTGATATGGTTGTTGAAGGATATCAACGATAATACGGAGGCAGGGGTGAGAATGTGCAGAGAGTTGGGAAGCTGGTTTAGAATGAATAGAGGTACGAAACAAGGAGCTCTGATATCACCGAGCATCTTCATCACACACCTAGAGAGAGTGATGGACAAGATCGAGGAAGAGGTAAAAGGGATATCAGCGCACGGGATGAGACTTAACAACTTGAGGTTCGCAGATGATATAGTTATCATCAAGGAAGATGAAGAGAAATTAGCGAGAATGGTGCACTGTGCTAAATGAGGAAGGAAAGCAGTATGGACTGATTATGAATATCGATAAAAGAAAGACAATGGTATTTGGAGACAAGGAAATAGAAAGAAAGATCAGTGTAGATGGGATTGAACTACAGAACGTAGAGAAGTTCACATATTTGGGGAGCAACGTGACGTATGATCTAGACTGTAAGAAGGAAACAGCAACTAGAATAGAGAAAACAAGAGTGAGTTTGAAGGCGATGGATAAGATCAGGAAAAGTAAAGCGATTAGCTGAGGAACGAAGCTGAGCATCTTGAAAACGTGCATTTAGCAGCATGTTGTACGGATGTGAGAGACATGGGTAAAAATGAAAGATTCGAAGAGAAGGATAATGGTGTTCAAGAGGAGTTGTTATAGAAAGGTCCTGAGAACAGGATGGATGCAGAAGGTCACCAACAAGGAATTATATAGGACGATACAGCCGAAAGAGAACCTACTGCAGAAGATTATACAATGGAAGTTACAGCTATTTGGGCATATCTGCAGAATGAACGATGAGCGAAAAGTTAAGACCCTGGTATTCGGCATAATGGATGGTCCGAATAGGAGAGGCAGATCCCCCCAGAGAATGGGTAGGTGATATAGTAGATTGGTGAGGAGCTAGTCTACAGAAACTAAGCCACTTCACACTGCACAGGGAAAGATGGAAGGAAATAGTGAGGGAGGCGTCGGACACCAACAGGTGTTGAGCCCATAGCTTTTGTTGATGATGATGATGATGATGATGATGAAACCGTCCCTCAGTGAAACTAAAGAGGTGATCCGGGTAAAACCAAAAAGCAAAGCCATGATTTTGTATGCCTAGCAGTGCCTGTTCAAAAGGCCCCAGTGTGAAAATAACAGGGATGCTGTAATTCAGAATAGTGGTTCATGGACTGAGATGTGAGAGCAGAGTGGGAATGCTATGAGCCAGGAATGGGACATATTCAGGAGATGTGAGAGCTGGTGCAGGTCCAGGACAGTTCTCACAGAGTGCAACATTGCCCCGGCTCCCTGACCCGATACGTCCCCCTCCCTTTGGCCATCCCCTTCCTCTCTGGCCCAGAGGGGTTGTAGCACAAACATGAACTCTGACCACAAGTGTTCTTGAAACGGTGAGGTCAGTGGAAAATTTCTCCAGCATAGATCAGCCTAGCAAGACCAGGAGATCTGGATTGCAATGTAGAGCACCAGAGGGGTAGCCGTGTTAGTCTGAATCTGCAAAAGCGGCGAGGAGTCCTGTGGCACCTTATAGACTAAGTGAAGTGTAGGAGCATAAGCTTTCGTGGGCAAAGACCCACTTCGTCAGATGCATGTAGTGGAAATTTCCAGAGGCAGGTATAAATATGCAGGCCAGAATCAGGCTGTAGGGGAACACTTCAATCTACCTGGACACACAATTGCAGATCTAAAAGTAGCCATCCTGCAGCAAAAAAACTTCAGGACCAGACTTCAAAAGAAACTGCTGAGCTATAGTTCATCTTCAAGATTGACACAATCAACTCTGGATTAAACAAAGACTGTGAATGGCTCGCTAACTACAAAAGCAGCTTCTCCTCTCTTGGAATTCCCACGTCCAGATCAGCTACTAGAAGTGGGCCTCCTCCTCCCTGATTGGATCCACCTCGTCATCTCCAGCCTGATTCTGGCCTGCATATTTATACCTGCCTCTGGAAATTTCCACTACATGCATCTGACGAAGTGGGTCTTTGCCCACGAAAGCTTATGCTCCTATACTTCAGTTAGCCTATAAGGTGCCACAGGACTCCTCACCGCTAATGTAGAGCATGACTCTAAAGTTTTCCCAAGAATGTATCGGTCCAGTTCTACTCCCTTTGATATCAAAGGGAAATTTGACTTCAGTGGCAGCTGCACTGAGTTCTGTCTGGGCCCTGTGTAATTTGGACATAAAATCTTAAACTCATAGAACCTTGAAAGAGACCTCAGGAGGTCATCTAGTCCAGCCCCCTGCCGAAAGCAGGACCAATCCCAACTAAATCATCCCAGTTAGGACTTTGTCAAGGCAGGATTTCAAAACCTTTAAGGATGGAGATTCTACCACCTCCCTAGGGAACCCATTCGAGTGCTTCACCACCCTCCTAGTGAAATAGTTTTTCCTAATCTCCAACCTAGAACTTCCCCCACTGTAACTTGAGACCATTGCTGCTTGTTCTGCCATCCGCCACTGAGAACAGCCTCTCTCCGTCCTCTTTGGAACCTCCCTTCATGTAGTTAAAGGCTGCTATCAAATCACACCTCCCCCCCCACTCTTCTCTTCTGCAGACTAGGGCATGTCTACACAGAAGGGCTAAACTCGAAATAAGCTACACAATCTGAGCTATGCTAATTGCATAGCATAAGTCAAAAGAGCTTATTTTGAATTTGGGCACGTCTACACAGCACTTATTTCGAACTAGCGCACTCTTCCTCCGACTTCCCTTAATCCTCATAAAATGAGGGTTACAGGAGTAGGAGTAAGAGGTCCACTGGTAGGACACTATTTTGACATTATGTTGAAATAAATGCTTGTGTGTAGATGTATACTTTGTTATTTTGGAATAACATTCATTATTCTAAAATAATGCTGCTGCGTAGATGTACCCTAAATAAACCCAGATTCCACAGCCTCTCCTTGTAAGGTCATGTGCTCAAGCCCCTTAATCATTTTTGTTGCCCTCCACTGGACCTTCTCCACATTCTTTCTGTAGTGGGGGGCCCAGAAGTGGACACAGTACTCCAGATGTGGCCTCACTGGTGCAGAATAAAGGGGAGTAATTACTTCTCTAGATCTTCTGGCAATGCTCCTGCTAATGCACCCTAATATTCCATTAGCCCTCTTGGCTACAAGGGCACCCTGGTGATTCATATCCAGCTTCTCATTCACTGTAATCCGCAGGTCCTTAGCCAATTGGTCCCCAGCCTATAGCCTTGCTTGGGATTCTTCCATCCCAAGTGCAGGACTCTGCACTTGTCTTTGTTGAACCTCATGAGATTTCTTTTGGCCCAATCCTCCAATTTGTCTAGGTCACCCTGGACCCTATCCCTATGCTCCAGCATATCTACCTCTCCCCCTAGATTAGTGTCATCTGCAAATTTGCTGAGACTGTAATCTATCCCCTCATCCAGGTCATTAATAAAGTTGTTGAACAAAACTGGCCCTAGAACTGATCCTTGGGGCACTCTGCTTGAAACCAACCACCAACCAGATACTGGGCTGTTGATCACTACCCGTTGAGCTCAACAATCTGGCCAGCTTTCTATCCACCTTACAGTCCATGTATCCAATCCATATTTCCTTAAGTCTTGAAATGTTTCAATTAGCAGAATTAATTTTTTATTTGCTAGCAAATCCCAAGTTTTCATTTTGAAATGTGCAACTTTCCCAAGAACTTTTAAACTGTTTCTAATACAAATAGATTAAGATTTTAGAGCAAAATATATGTCTCAGTGTTCACTATGATCAGAATCACTAACATGAGATTTAAATGTTTTAATACTTTGGATTATTATTTAAAGAAATAAATTCAGTAGTTGGAAAATAGGATAACTTACGCATACTATCATCATCATCAGACCCTCGAGAATGTAAGACTTTCATTGTATAGCTTCTTGAGCGTGTGGAACCTAGTGACAAAAAATACAATCAATGCCGTTTTTCACTTCAAAGGGGTTTTTTTAAACTTGTGTTAATGCCCATTTTAGGATCATCCCGAAAAGCTTTAGACAGAGAGATTTCCTACTTTGGCAACTAGATTTTTCTCTTCTCTCTATGTGAAGGCTGCAGCCTACTGTTGCTTGTACTTCACATTTACCTCTATTTCTAGAAGACATTTCCCACGATCAAAATATTTCCTCAAATAACAAACAAAACATTTTAATAGATTTCAGAGCTAATTTGCCCCCACAGCGCCTAGCCATGTGTCAGGGGTCTGTAGAAACAACCTCACCGCATCTCCCAGCACTTCCTTGCATCCCTCCAATCTCCCCGGGACACCTCGCATCCTCCTTTGTTTCCAAGTCTCTCCGGAATGCTCACCTCTCCTTGGAGAGGGTCTCTTATTATCATGTCAGATTACCAGGGTCTGCTATTCTACGCCATATGCAAGGGCCTGCATGCACAGCATTTCGCACTTAACCAATACCCCACTTCCCCAATTTCCCATATTCCTTCTTTCCACCATGCCAGCATGCCTGTGTTCTCCCTCTTCCCCCAACCCAGGTTCATCCATTCTCCCCTCTACCTACTCTCCTGCAATTCCCCCATGTCTCCAACCATTCCCCCACGTCTATTTCTTTTCATTGTCTAGGGGTTAAGGGTGTCAGCATGTTAAATTCTTTTGGGAGGGTAGGCAGAGGTAAGTTAGGGTTATGCTAGAAGATGTTAATGTGCACCATCAACCCGTTCTTTGGTCCACAGACAGCTGCAGAAGTGCCCGAAGCTGCAGCTCTACTAAACAGATGGCAGGAGCTCCATACGGCCCCTATTTCTCCTCTTCCGGTTTTCCAGTTTCTCCACAGATCTGTAGGTTATCTAGCATATCTAGGCTTATTCACGCCTAGAACATTCCTTGAAATTTGAAATTGATCAGATGCAGCATTCAAAATCTATCACTTTACAGACAGGTTTCCCGGTGCTTCCCTGTGTAGACAAGCCTAGGGAAACATCACACAGTTGAGTGGAAGGCCTGAAACACTTAGTCAATTAGGAAAGATTATTTGAAGAGCTGAGATCACTTACCTGAAGCTACAGTAAGTCGTGACCTCTCATTATCTAGGTAGAGGAGTGATGACAGATTAGAATCATAGCTCCAACCATCAGTTGCTGATACACTCAAATATGTTTCATTGAACAGGAAATTGAAGGAAATAGGAAGGTTGATTGTTTGAATGGCAAAGTAAAGCATTTGTTTTCAGAGAACCATTGCATGTAGTAGATGAAAGCCCTATAAGGACTGACTTTTTTTCTAGCCTCTGCTTTTTATGTGCTAGTTTCACTCAAATCAGACAGAGAAATGAGCAAGATTTTCTTGAAGTGGGAAGGGACTTTAGCAATAAACATTTGCTCATCTTTAATTCATGTAATTTACTACTTATTTACTATTTCCCCCCTCCATTTACATAGTAGCACCCATTTTTCTATCTCTATTGTCCTTTTTCTTCTACTTCAAAATAAAAAGCTAACTGAAATTAGATTTGCAGCGTGCAACCTGGTTTACATCACTGCCACCCAATCTAGCTCATGGAGATAGCAGGTCTGCAACTACCGAGTGCATTGTTGGTAACCGAAATAAGATCATTCCAAATGGAATTTACCAGATTCAGTTGGTTTGTTTGCCAGCTGGAATTTCTGTTGATCATCAGGTTTGGTGACCACCATGGAAGTGAGAGATGTAACAAAGCTGTACTTCAGAGATAGTTCCAATGCTCGGGCTACCTGCGAGTTTTTCAGCTGTTCCTCTTGAGCTGAAACACTAATGTTGGCATTCAGGACTTAAAAAAATAAAGTGAACTTTTTAACTAACTGTGAAATCCTCAAACTTTCTCCTAGGAATTTTCAAATAACTTTAAATAGGAGTTGTCCCACTAGGATAGCTCAACTATTCGTGCCTTTACATTTATGCATTTGCTCATGTGTTTGCCATGTCAATGCCTCTGTAATTACAAGTAAACATTCAAGTGGATCTTGAAAATGCAGGCTTCATGGACATCCCTCAGTCATTTGTAATTGGCAACACTTACACTGGATATATATTCACTGTACTATGGAATAGTCCATAGTCCAAAACCGAGCAGAGTGTAATCCTGTTTACACTGCAAAGTACTGGATCCTTATTATTCAGTACCGAAGTATTCTTTTCAGTGGGTATATTTTAAGGTTATGTGCTGAAATATTCACACTTTCCTTTCCCATCGTGTGAAGAAAGGATGTCTATGGTTTGTTTTTATGAAGAAGTTTATAAATTCCTAATAGACAACATGAGGGTTTTATTAGCTTACGATTTTTCCAGCAGTTGTTGAATGGTTAAGTAAGCCCACAATCGCTCAATGAAATTTCCAAAAATGTACTTCTGATGTTGAAAAACTTTCTCCTTTTCTCTTACATTTGCTTCCTCATTAAAAGTCAAGTTACTGGTATGCTAAAGAGAGAGAGATTGATCCAAGAGATAATTTAAAGACAATCATATTTTTAAATGTCAAGACCTTTCTCAGTTCAAAAATATAGCAATATATTTAAAGGCTCCTGAAGAGACAGAGCAAAAGAAATTAATGTTAGCTACAGGATACTTTTCCCCCCAATTAAATTTCTTATCGTTGCAATAGCAGGCATCTGTTATAATATTTATATTAAAAGTGCCCCACCATATTTAAAGTACACTAGTGTTAAGCTACTTAAATTCAGTTATTATAATAAATCTGTACATGCCATCAGAGCTACATTCTGTAGAAGATGAGTGTTCACTTATTCTCAGTTAAGCTGCCAGAATTATCAAAAATATCTCGCTTTACATGATTAAATGAATGATATTTTAACAACATATATGTGTCAATGAAATATAACAACTGAGATCTCAAATGCCCATGAAATAATTTCTAGTCATAAGTGAATAACTTTCAGAAGTTCTAGGAAAACTAAAGAATGAGCAGCTAATGGGACATAACAGATGCTCTATTTGTGCCACATTAGTAATTATAGTATTTAATTATACTCAGATCAGACATTTCTTCTTTCTAAAACATTCTTTATAAATAAACCACTATTATGGGGTGATATTTTATGGACCAATAGGACCGCTCTCTGGTCTGTACATACCAGAAGTAAAAGTGAACATGTGGGGCTCGTCTACACTGGCCCCTTTTCCGGAAGGGGCATGTAAATTTCACCAGTCGTCGTAGGGAAATCCGCGGGGGATTTAAATATCCCCCGCGGCATTTAAATAAAAATGTCCGCCGCTTTTTTCCGGCTTTTAAAAAAGCGTCTACACTGGCCCCGATCCTCCGGAAAAAGCGCCCTTTTCCGGAGGCTCTTATTCCTACTTCAAAGTAGGAATAAGAGCCTACTTCAAAGTAGGAATAAGAGCCTCCGGAAAAGGGCGCTTTTTCCGGAGGATCGGGGCCAGTGTAGACGCTTTTTTAAAAGCCGGAAAAAAGCGGCGGACATTTTTATTTAAATGCCGCGGGGGATATTTAAATCCCCCGCGGATTTCCCTACGACGACTGGTGAAATTTACATGCCCCTTCCGGAAAAGGGGCCAGTGTAGACGTAGCCAAACTGTATGCAAGAGATTTTTAGTCTTTTATTAATTTATGGAAGAGCCTATGGAAATTTCAAGAATATAGGCCTTTCAGTATATGAAAAAGTTTCTCTTTAGGTAGAAAACTCTCAAAGTACTTACTGATAGAGCTTGAATTTCCACTGGCAAAACGTCAACCTCATTGTCAATTTTTCCAGCTACCACAATTTCAGAACCATCAAAAAACAGTTTGAAACTGTTCTGAGTTAATTCCAAGATGGAATTTTCTGGATACTGTATTTCAATATCCTTTAATACAGGAGTAGCCACTTCTTGATAAAAGCCCTAGAGAGAGAGAGAATAAAGCTAGTGACAGTAAAACTAACTTTAATTAAGTAACCTGTGAAATATTTAAACAAATCTCAGCAGGTTCTGGTGTTAATTTTTCTGTTTCCTAAATTTTTAATAGACACCTACCTGGAGCTGCAACTCTGAATCAGAGTCCTCATATATACGACGGGCTATTCCTCCATTTTCTAGGGCCATCTTCTCAAGGAACTTGTAACTGACATCAAAACCAAAGCCAAGGCAATAAAGAACATACTTCCCATTGATAGCCTTCTGTATGTTCTGTTGAATTGTTTGAACATCTTCAACACCTGTGATTTAAAAAAAAATGAAAACACTGTGTGTGTGTGTGTGTGTGTGTGTGTGTGTGTGTGTGTGGCCACAGGCGAGTAGATTACAAAAATTGTCAAGTCCTGTTCATGTTGTAAATACAGTTCTTTCAATTCAATTCAATTTTTGCTTCTGCTGTCTGATAAATAATTCATAGTAAGTGAAACTTAAGTAAGTTGTTGAATTCTGTTTAGTTAAGAATGAAAATGCCACTCTGCTTTCTCAGTGACTGGGTCTAATTCTCTACCTACTGCACCATTTTAATACTGATGATGATGATGATGATGATGATGATGATGATGATGATGATGATACAGGATTTCTTCAGGCACATTGAGGTTATGTCTACACTGGCAACTTCTTGCGCAAGAACAAAAACTTGCCTGCTGTCTACCCTGCACATGCGTTATTGCGTGAGTAAATTTACAGTATAGCGTTGTAAAACAGGGCTTCTTCTGGAAAAGTTATTCCTCTCCCTGTGAGGAATAAACCCTCTTGCGCAAGAGCTCTTCCACAAGAGGGCAGTGTAGATAGGCAACATGAATTTCTTGCGCAAGAAGCCCCTATGGTTAAAATGGCCGTCAGAGCTTTCTTGCGCAGGAGAGTGTCCACACTGCCATGGATGCTCTTGTGCAAAAGCACATGCCAGCGTAGACGTGCTCTTGTGGAAGACTTTTTGCACAAGAACTCTTCCGCAAAACAGTTTTTGCGCAAGAAGCTGCCAGCGTAGACATAGCCTGAGTGTTTTACAAAATACGCAGAGCTTACAAAATGATTAGGACAGATACATTACAAACAAAGGTGGCGACACAGGAAAGGAGGCGCTATTATTATACATGGATTTCGAGACAAACTAAATTAGCTCATGTGCCAAAAAGGATAAACTATGATTTAAAAATGTCATTGCTTCTCTCTCTGCCCCATGCATCCATCACTGTGGTCACTTGACTGAAGATCTTCATATACAGTTTGGACCTCTGTCGTCTGAATCTGTCATCCAACAACATCTGTGGCCCAGTATCCCCCGCGGTGCCCCTGGGCTGGGCACTCCTGACTAAAAGCTGGGCCCCTCATTCAGCAATTACTTCCCCGCCCTCCCAGAGCTTCCAGAGAGGCCACAAATAGCTCATTTTTGATGCTCAGACTCAGGAAGGGAGGCGGAGGAGCAGGGTTGAGAGGACACTCGGGAAGGAGATGCCTCGTGGCTGTGGAGCTCCGCAGCCCACAGCAGGAGAGGGGCCAATACTGACCTACCCTGCTACGTCAAATTCCCTGAACCAGGACCTGTCAGGTTCTGAAGGTTCCGGACCAGAGAGGTACAACCTGTAAAACGATATTCAAAATCACTAAGGGCTAATCCTGGAACCTTTCCTCATGTGAGCAACCCCATTGATTTGGTGTCAGGCGATGAATCAGGAACAGAGCGAAGGTCCTTCAGACTCCCTAGTCTCCTGCTTTACCTGCTGCTAGACCAGCACTATCTTAATTTCTGTAGTAATATTTTGGGACAAAGGTAATTTTCCCATTTTTTGAATCTTTTATTTTTGTTTTTACTTCAGAACAGACATTTGGACTGAGAGTCCGTAGACAAGCCTAGCCCTTACTGGTGTTGCTTATATAGGGTCATAGGTACAGTCATCTTGGGGTCACTGAAGAGATACAGATACCTCATGCAAATTTTGAAAATCTTTGTTGGGAAACCCTTCTACTCATTTCAGGGACTGTGTTTTCCGTGTTTTCTTTCCTAGCTCTTTGTTGCTTCAAGAAATTAGCGTAAAACAGAATATTTTGTTTCTTAAGGACTCATCCGAACTTGGTGCATGTTCTTACATGTTATAAAAGATGCATAATTAGGGGAGGGAGAATTGGGTTACTGCGATTAACATACCAACAGTTGGCTGACCATCTGTCAGCAAAATTATCATGGAAATGCTTTGTGCTTGCAAAATCTCTGCGTAGTTGGCCTTATCCAGGGTGTCGGCTGCAGTCAGTAGAGCTTTGTTGATATCTGTTCCTGCAACAGAGAAAATACACACGATTGATATATAAATCCAATCAAAGAGGCCAGTCAGTTCACAGTTTGAAAGAGGCATTTGACTAGATAGAAGAAAATAAGATCAGAGGAAATTGTAAAAGGTGGTGAATTTTTAGAGAGAGGATGACTTGAGCATTTAAATTACTTGGTTAGCTAATGATGGTTTATATTGACTTGAACTTTAGTTATTCTGGGTTTTTTGACAGCATTTTTAGTAGATTATGTGAAGAGGAACATAGACAAGGGTCTTTTTCTATAGATTCTATAGATTCTACAGAGCCATATAAAATAATTGTATTATCTGAGAGACCAGAATTTAAGAACTGTTACTTGTATTCATTTGAGGAGTCTCCGTATTGTGCTGCACACTGCTAGTCTACACTGGTATTAAATGCAGAGGCCTGAACTTTCAGTCAAGTGTAAAACAAAATTAATAGCAGGGGGTTGGGCTTGATGACCTCCTGAAGCTTCTGCCAGCCCAACGAATCTATGATTTCTCAGAAAATTCTTTGATTTTCAAATTTCTTTTGTTGCAAAACAGAACAAAACAGTTTTCCAAGTTTCCTTTGAAATCAGCTTTTCAAAACATTTCCATTTCAAATCAATTGAAACATTGCATTTCAATTGGTTTTATCTTTTAAATATTTCTTGTATAAATAATACATTATATACAATAAATATACCTTAAAAGTTCTTTAAAAATTGAAATGGAAAATCCAGTTCTAATAAGGTGAACCTTATCAAAACGCTTCATTTCTGTTTTTTAATTTTGATGTATTGCTTTTTTCTGAGGAAAATAACAGGGTTCAAAAAAGAAAAAATCATGGAAGATAGTTCCATCAATCACATCAGATAGGCAGGTATGATGTTCCTAGGGTCTGTTTGTCAGAGGCTGGGAATGGGCAGCCGGGGTGGGATCATTTTATGATTCTCTGTACTGTTCATTCCCTCTGGGGGACCTGGCATTGGACACTGTCGAAAGACAGGACATTGGACCTTTGGTCTGACCCAGTGTGGACATTCTTACGGTCTTATTCATATCAGTTTGTTCTAGGAGTTATTTCACATACTTTGTGGTGAGTGTCTGTGTTTAAAGTGTTTAGATATAATCTTTACCTCCATGAGCCATAATAGTTTTAACATATCTTTTAGCACTTTCCACATTTTGTCCAGTTGCTTGCAATAAAGAATTCCTCCATTCAGAAACCCTGCTACTAAAAGTTATTAAGCTAAAATGATCTTCAGGTCTGAGGTCTTCCAAAATCTTCAGGAGGGCATCTCTTGTCTGTTAAAAAGTGGGGAGAAAGTGTATTTTTATTTTGTTTTTTATTTTATCAGAATTGGAATTTAAAATTAAGATGCCTTTATTTTTGCTTGCATAGTTTATTTTAAATCATGAGATTTCTCTTCAGAAGAATGTAACATTATTTGTTTGCACAATATTTGTTTGCACTATACACCTGAGTGCAAATGTTGTAATTCATTTTGTCAACAGTTTCAAATTTATACATTTTGGATTATGTACCTTACTGTATATTTTAGAAATGTCCATCTGTCTGTCCATCTATCTGTTCAAGCACACCTCCTAACTGGTAAGATCTAGGACCACCAAATTTGGTTTGCAGCTTCCTCTTATTATAATGTGAAGTAAGTTGTGCCAGGAAAATGGAATGTGCCTGGAATTTGAATGCTTCTCATAAAATGGAAAGGATGAATGACCACAGGGGGAAGCAAGAGGCGAGAGATGGGGACCAGGATGGCTATAATCCCATTGGGCCAGCAGGGGACAGGAGTGGAGAAAGGGACAGCTGTCTATTATATATTTCAGACAGTTTGTCCGTGTGTCTATCTGTCTCCTAGCTGGTGGACACACATTCCTTCCTTGGCTATGCCCACTGCAGGCACAGCGGCCATAGAGAGATGCTTCTCACCTGGCCCCAACCTGCTGTGGGGAGAGCAGCCTCTCTCCCCAGCAGAGCCTGCATACTGAACCTCTCATCCCTCGCCCCACCTCTAAACAATGATTTAAATGAAAACAAAACAAAACTGAGTTAAGGATTCAAGCAACACCAGGTAAATCTTCTAATAATTGAATACGGACGAATCTCTTGATATGTAAATTCAACCCTTAGGATAAGGATATATTTGAGACTGTAGCCTACGGAGTAACCTGCTTGCTTGCTTGTAAATGTGTATTTTCTTATAGATTTCTTATTTCCTTATGGTTTTGATTATATGTTTATTATAATAGGTTACAATAGGTTTATAACAAAGTAGTAACATAAGGAACTTACAGGCCACAGTCTGTATCTTATGTATCTTATGATAAGGTACTTGTCTGGGACTGTTCACCCAAATCGCAAAGTTAGCACACATGTCTGGGACCTTTCACCTAGATCAGTGTTTCCTAATTTTATTTGGCCACGGAACCGCTAGGATTGCCGCGTTTCATCGAGAGAAAAAACCACCCACGTCCCACCACCAATTGGGAAGCACTGATCTCGATAGATGATAATGAGCTAAAGCATAAGGGCCACACATAATGTGTTAAAGCAACTGGAACAGGGACTTTGCTAACTTCATATCCTTTTAAACTTAACAGGTATACCACAACTTGAAAAACTCCCGAAATATCTAGTTGGAACAGAAATAACAAATGTGATACCTAACCACAAAAGGACATGGTAAAGAATTGATGTATATGATAATAAGTTGAGATCAATGATATACTGACCTATAGGGAAAAGATACTTCAACATTAGTAAGGTGAGGAAATACAAATAAGGAAAAAAGGAAACATCTCCTACTCTAGATGCATCAAGCATAGGGATGGGTAATAAGATGGTGGTGACTGGCCACAGTTAGCCCCTAGCGGGTTGCTGCCGCTATACTTAATTGCATCTGTGCAGGTACAGATGCTTGCGGCTCCCATTGGCCGTGGTTTACTGTTCCCCACCAATGGCAGCTGCAGGAAGTGATAACACTTCCCAGAGGTCCCCTTGGCTGCAAACAGTGATCTGTGGTCAACAATAGCTACAATCGCCCATACCTGCAGAGAGGCAGGTCAACTCAGCGGTGGTGACCTGCAAGGGGCTAACCACGGAGAACAAGATCTAGCGCGTGGTATTTGCCCACTCTGGATCAAGCATAACAATGTCAGTATAAGCTATTATAAACATGGCATCCCAGCCTAGGGGACATTGTTCTTAACTCCCAGCTACTGGAATCAAGAGACTGCATAAAAACCTCAGCTTTCATTTTAAAACAATTCTAATTCCTCTGGTTGAGAAAAAAATTAAAGCTAGGAAATAGGAAGTGAGCGAACTTAGTAAAGCTTCAGAATTCCAAAGGCAAATAAAAATAACTCAAATTTTTGAAATGTACAATTTTAAGCCAGTTTAATGATTTTTGGGGGGAGGATGACTCATTATTTTGAACTGTCTTTGGGTTGGCAATACTTCAGAGCTAAACACCAACTTCTGTGACGGTGCCATTATCACTTCATTATGCAAATTGTTCTACTCTCTAATCATCTTTACAGTAAAAAAGCACGGAGCATAATCAATGTTGCCGTAAATCAATGGAGTTGTACCCACTGTATCTGGCCCTGTGTGTTTATTCACTTGAATAACAGAGAAAAGGACTGGACCTTAAAATATGCAGTCTGCCCAATCATTTCAGTAACTTATGCTGGAGAAGGAGGGGAAGTTGAGGCACTGGTCATTGTAATACTGTGTGTTTGAAGAACTGCTCCCCGGGGGTAGGTCAGAATGGTGTTGAAAGGTGGAACATGAGCTGGAGGATATGGGAATTTGGTGGGATTCCCCAATAACTTTCCCTCTCAAATTGAGGCCTTTACAGGTGACCTAATCTTGTAACTGTTACTAAACCAAATACTCCTATTGAGTGAAAGGGGCCAGTGTAGACGTAGCCCTATTGAGTGAAGTAGGACTCAGTTCTGTTCCCAGTGAAGTCAATAAGTTAAACTCCTGCTGCCTTCATTCCACTGTGATCTTAACTCTTCACACTTAAAACAAACAAACAAAACAAAACAAAGAAAACCCAGAAGCTCAATTTTTCACATGTAAAAAACTAAGTTAGAACTTAATCAAGATGAGATATCTATAACAGCAGCCAGGTTAGGAAGAGGTTAAACTTTAAAATGAGCAAGTTCAATAAAGCTGCATGTGTATACTTCCAAGAGCAAGATGGCTTCTAGCCTCTGAAAACATTGCATGTCCAAAGAAGTAGCATGACTTTTAAAACTTACCTTCACTGGTGTTTCCTAGAGTGAGATAGAGCTGCTGGTATATGAAACATCTTTAGAAATAGCAGTGGGCTCAACAACTTTTATTTATTCAATAGCACAGATACTGTGAATACACAAACATAGTTTTATATTTAAGAAGTGAGTTACCTGCTCAATTTTTCTGCCTGACATAGATCCACTTTGATCTACAACAAAGATGACATTTTTGGGAAATGTTGGCATTTCGCTGGGTGCAAAGTAATGCACAAAATACCCATTTACAATCTGAAACACAAAAGTCATATCTTATTCAGCATAAAATATTCTTGGTTTAACATCTATTTGATAAAACATAATTTGAGGTTCAAGTTAAATTTGTTAAATAAAAATGAAAACCCTCTCAAATAAAAAATGAAGTTATTCTCTTGGGTGTTAACTAGTTTAGGCAAACGGTGTATAGGGCACATGCTTAGACAGAGATCGTGAGGTTCTTAAATCAGTGGTATCTGCTTGATTCTTGTGTAATTCCATGGCATAAATCTGAAGTAACAGGATAGAGAATCCTGCACTTGCTCTTATACAAACACAATTTATCTAAATAACTAGCATAGAATCAAAGCAGAAAATGGAGCTGTTATTTGAGGGTTTACTTATTTATTTATGTATTTAGCAACACTGAGCCAGGCCACCTATTAAGTGTAATTTCCATTTTTAATCAATGGCTTTCATTTTTAATCAATGGAAAAAAAGCATGATTTTCCGGAAATGCTTTTAACGGAAAAGTTTTCCGTTGAAAGCATTTTCGGAACAGAGTGTCTAGGTTGGCACGGACGCTTTTCCGCAAAAGCACTTTTTGCGGAAAAGCGTCCGTGCCAATCTAGACGCGCTTTTCCACAAAAAAGCCCCGATCGCCATTTTTGCAATCGGGGCTTTTTTGCGGAAAACAAATCTGAGCTGTCTACACTGGCCCTTTTGCACAAAAGTTTTGTGCAAAAGGACTTTTGCCCGAACGGGAGCAGCATAGTATTTCCGCAAGAACACTGACAATCTTACATGAGATCGTCAGTGTTTTTGCGGAAATTCAAGCGGCCAGTGTAGACAGCTGGCAAGTTTTTCCGGAAAAGCGGCTGATTTTCCGGAAAAACTGGCCAGTCTAGACACAGCCGATATGTATTAAATTAGTAAAATTATATAGAAAGTGAACTGCATTTTATTCACTTAATTAGGGCATGTGTTGGTTCATTCATTTTTTTTAAACAGACTTGTTCTTTTATAACAAAAATCTTATATTTTGTTCACAATGTAAATAGAGATACACATATACACAAGTAATTACTGTTTTAAACAGGTGTCTAAATCAAATTCAGCTTAGCTCATTTACAAAAGAGACTGGAAAGTAATTCTTAGGTCTGCCTAAGAGAGACTAATTTGTCAATGGATGGTGCTGAGCATTTTTTTCAGGATTTATTGAATTCCTTCAATGCCTATTCACTCTGGATTGATGACTACATCTTGTAATTGTACTATAGCACTCCACAATGATTTCTTTCATTAGCACTTCCAAATGTATATTTGTTACCTGTATATCTCCTGCATTGACACGTCTTTTAACATCGTAACGTATAATAAAGTCTCCATCAAGGCGGGTTTCCTCAAGTTCAGGACTCTTCTTCTGTTGAGCTATTGTTGGTTTAAATAAAATATGAGCCTGATGAACAGAAAAGAAACTAAATGAAGATTAATCACAAATGTAAATAGCAACTAAAAA